TTCGTTGAGGCGGAGATGCGCGTTCGTTGAGGCGGAGCTGCGCGTTCGTTGAGGCGGAGATGGGTGTTCCAATGGTGCGGAGGGAGACTCAAAAACGTGAGAATGGTGGAGGAAGCTCGCGCGCAGGGAAACTGGTGTTCTTACTAACTAACCCTAGGCAAAAACGACGTCGTTTTGGGCCATTTAGGGGTCAAAAAAAATGTAACCAGACTCGTGGACTCGAGCTCAGACTCGCGATTCTGACCGAGTCTACCCAAAAACGATTCTACAAGCGAGTTAACCAGTTTTGCTCCTCTAGAATCGTAAACTCGTCCGAGTCTACGAGTTGACTCGCGAGTTTGACAACCATGGTTGGTAGTGTACCTTACTATCAATTGATGTATGGATTTACTTATTTTTCAATCGTGGTTAATTGGTTATCATTTTCTTATCCTAAAGTCTACCACTGCCTTGATCAATCCACTGGATTCATGGCTTTCCCACGAGGAAGGCAGAAGCAATCTTGATTATAATTTAGAATCTTATCTCTGATCATAATTTTCTACAGTTTACAGGGTTCTTTTTCTTTGTCCCTTTTTAATTCCTGAATCTCATCTAGAGGATGGGCTTAATGTTTCTGATATTGTTTCAATTGACATTCGATACAACTTCACACAATAACTTCTAAATTTTAAATGATGGTCAATATAAATGTGTTTGATCGAACTTATTTGTGTGGGAGATTCTTAATTTAACAGTTTTTATTTATTTATTTATTATATGGCCTAGTTGATTTGGTTTTAAATGAAAACTCAATCCAATGCAATATCTTATTAAACTTAATTTTGAATATAAATTAGTTTACTTTTTAAAAAGTTACGTATGAATTCAAAATTAGTAAATAATATAAGAAATTTTTTTAAGTACAAATAAATATGAAATTTATTAAGCAAAGTATATTTAATTTAGTTTACGGTATATTGAATTGTATTTAACTTTAAAATAAGAGTTTGATTCAATCAAACTAGTTTTATTTATTTTTGTTGATTTTTACAATAAAAGTAACATTATGTAAAATGTATATAGTTAATATTTGGATTCAAGATAATAGATATCAATATTTAGTATTTAGTGTGTATTTTATGTAAATTAATGTTTTTTAAAGAAAAACATAATCCTACTCTATCAATTCATAATTTTATTTTTATTTTTATTTTTAAACAGTCATTTAGTCCTCTTCTTTATAAAAAATTATATAATTTTAGTTCTATCATTAATTTTATATTTATTCATCGTGAGATTTTGACATGTTTTAATGTGTCGTTATTAAGTGATGTGATATTTAGTAATATCAGAAGTAGAGATAAAAATAAAAAAATATCATGCATTTTTTTTATTAATATATATTTTAATGAATAATTAATATTTATTTTATTAATAAATCTTATTTGTTTAATTTTAAAATTCAACAATTTATAAATGTCAATTTGATAAGAAGATTAAAAATTTATATTTTTTAAATTAAAAATATTAAATATTTTTATTTTAAAATATAGAGAACAAAATTATGGATTAACAAAAATAGAGTTATCAAAATAACTTAAATAAAATAAAAATTCTTCTAAATTCATTTTTATTTCTTTCTATTTTATATTTCTTTATTAATATATCAATTCCTTAATATACATTACAAATTAATGACCTTTAGTTTTAACTTTTAATACTAGGTTGTGCTTGAATCATAATTTTAGTAGGTTGGTGATTGATTTTAATATTTGATATTTTGTTTTAATATAATTTTTTGTTACCAAAAAACAATCTTAGACTCTTGATTATCATTTTTTAAGAGGTTTTCATGCTTGTTTAAAGAAAATTAATTCTCATGTTAATTAAAAAAAAATCCATGTTAGTAAGAAAAAGAAAAATTAAAAAATGCTTTTAGTAAAGAGAAAATAGGACTATATAAATTAAATACTAACATCCTTTATACATTACTTCTAACTCCCCTTAATTATTTGAAAAATATTACATTGTAACTCATTATAAAAAAGGTTACTAAAAATATTAAAAAGATAGAAAATTTTAATACAATCTCAACGAATTTTAGCAGGTGTTTATGTGAATAAAAAATTAATGAACTTAGTTTTTATTACTTCTATTTAGCTTCTATTAAAAATTAAAATTAAATAAAAAAGTAAACTAAGACATTAGCAATTTATTATTTTAAAAATATATGAAATAAAAAAAATAATAGTATATTTATAAAAAAAAAATTCATACCATTTTCTTTTCAACTTCATTCTTCTAACTATTCATTAAATTACTTTACAAATTACCAAGATTCCTCAATTAACTACTCATTAATAT